TCTCTCTCTCTCTCTCTCTCTCTCTCTCTCTCTCTCTCTCTCTCTCTCTCTCTCTCTCTCTCTCTCTCTCTCTCTCTCTCTCTCTCTCTCTCTCTCTCTCTATCTATCTATCTCTCTCTCTCCTCTCATTACCATTGTTATTATTATTGTTATCTTTGTTATCATTGTTATTATTATTATTATTATTATTTGTCGTTGTTGCTGTTGTTTTTGTTATTACTGTTATTATTATCATCATCATCATCATTATTATTATTAATAATAATAATATTGCTATCATTAAAATTCTATCCTTATTACAGGTTATTTGGTATCAGTACAGCTCACGAATCCTGTTGAATTGATTATCAGCTGGTAATGTTATGGTGAAGCCTGCGCTTGCCCTTGATTTCCTTTGGGCCATCTATTCGCCATCCAGGGCATGGCTGTCTATAGTGCTAGCTTATACTGGGAAAGCAGGCAGGGGCATGCCATGTTTTGCTTTTTCTCATCTCTTTGTCCCTCTCTCTTAAAGTAAGAATTACAATTTAAGTCACCTTTTTTTTGCTAGTGGCCCAAATAAATGTTAAGAAAAAAGTAGTTTGCATATGACCAAGCTAGAGAAAGTTTCTGTTTTGCAAATCTGCTCTTTAATCCCCTTGGATCCTGGTGATTTGCTGCCTGCACTTGGCCCAAATTCAGGGGATGAAGGGCACTCACACTGATGTGTGGCTTGAACGCTGGTCGCGCACAAACACTCGTGTCAAGAATCCTTGCCGCCCCTCTGCAGTGTTAGATCTTTTTTTTCCTATTTTCTAATATCTATATTTGTCAGTTTATATGCTTTATCCAGATGGTAATAGATCCTTGCAAGACTGAATGCCTATCTCTCTTGGTAGTCCATAACTCATTGTTATTATTATTGCACAAAGAAATTTTGTGATTTGTGTCATTTATTTATTTTTATATTTTTATTTTTTATTTTTTACTGGGAGCAAGCCTTTTTACAGTCATGGCTCACAGATTCCACTCTCTTTTCCAACAAGAAAAAAGCAAGATTCCCTTCCCAAATTCCCACCGAGTCTAATCATCCTTGAGCTTTCTGCACTGGTTGTGAGTCATTCTTGTTCCTCCAGCTTCCAGCCAAAATTCTCATAATGATATGTTCCCTTCACCCCAGCCCTAAGCCAAAATTTTCCATGATGGCATGTTCTTAACACCTGAGCCTCAAGCTATATTTTTTCATGATATGATGGACATATCACTTGGATCATAGAGTTTAAATTTACTTAACCTTTTCATTACATTTCATAAAAAAGGACGTCAAGACTTGACAAATCCAGAGGGAGTTGATCCAGTGTCTCAAAAGGAGAAACAGAGTTGAGACCTTTTCACGAAATGCATATACCAGGGAACCACTTCAAGTGATTGCCACCTAGATTGACAGTGCAAGGGGCACTGCTAGATACAAAATATAGGAAATTGGTTTACCACCATAGTGGTACCCCTATATCAAAAGGGTTAAATAGCTTCTGCATTTTTTTTCATAAATGTAATTGCTCTCTTCTAATTTTAAGATTTATAGGTGCTAAATAGTGAGCAAAAGGGGAATATCTTTTACCAGTGTGAAATTTCTTAGAAATAAGTACAAATACAAGCTAGAAGGTGAGCATATGTTACAAATCATGAGAATGTGATATGTTGTAAATCTTTGCATTAAGTTTTAGTAGCCTCATTTTGGTGACTTTGCCTACTGATCATTTGTTTAGATATATTACAAATATATAGTGCTATGCATGCAAGTCAGCAAGTATAATGTTTAATTTTCTAAAGGTGCTTAAAGGTGTATCAAGTTTAGCATATGTGTGAAAGCTAAACTCATAGCTGGCTCAAGAATGTAGTTCAGTCTGGACATTTTCAAATCTTAATTATTTATTATTCAACTTTCCACGAATCTCTTACACTTGTGTGTTTCCAAGCATTCCAAACAAACTGTTGATATGCCAATTTTAAAGTGCCATTATTACAATAAAAAATATATGACAGTAATATATAAGGATTGGTAAAAACTCCTGCTGTACCACAGAACTGAACTATAAGCATTTTATAATAAAGGCAATTTTTAAAAAGTTGTTCATCAATACCTATCCTACCCCATCTACTCCCTCTTTCAACTCCTTTAATTACTATACTATCATACAATAAATGATCGTTGAAATATGACATTTAACTCTAACAAAGAACTTTAAAAACTCTCCCACCACAATACAATACCATAGTGCTCTATAACCTGTGTGCGTGTGCGTGTGCGTGTGCGTGTGTGCATCAACTATCTAGAGTAATCTTGAAAGATTAAAGATGGGTAAAGGAGTTGGTGTGTGAATGGGCTATGGTGGGTCTAGGTAAGGAAATTACATAAGGCAATCACCTCTGTATCCAATCCATGGGGGAGTGTAAGTGATAGAGGGGATGGAGGGAAGGAGAATGTATGTGTAGTTGGAGTTGAAGTGGATGGGTTGTGTTAGGAGGGAGGGAGAGGAGGAAGAGGTGTAGGGGGAATATGAGTAGGAGGAGGATGGATATCGGCAGTCACTTCGAGTGTGGAGGGAGCATGAGTTGTGGAATTTTGTCTCAAGCATATAGCTTTGAATATATTCGTGAGGAATAAGGGCAAAGGTAGGTGGAAGAAGAGGGGGAACGTTTAGTCTGTGTGCTGCGGGTAGTGCGGGGAGGGAGAGGGGACGGCGTTGGGGCTGTAGCTGAGATTGGAGTGTCTGGATTTAGAGTGGCAAAAGAATTTGACTGGGGAAGGTAGAATGTAGAAGTGGAAGTGGGGCAATAAGTAG